TGAAAATCATGCTGGGTACATGTATGTGTATGCCCCAAAGTCCAAGAGAAGACTGAAGGAGAGTCACGGTGTGGCCATCCCCTCGGAAGTGATTTCTCACTTCCCATTTCTTTGTCTCCTCTGGCAAGCGTGCACATTCTATGACAAAAACCTTAAAAAATTGTTTTAATTCTGTTTTTCTATGAACTTTTAAAGTTCCCCTCATAGTAAACCAATACAAAAAGGGAAAGTGGGAGTAATGTGCCCAGGGACAAACACATTTTATTATTCATCCTTGGTATGGGATGTAAGAAAAAGTGGAAAAAGAGAAAAAGGGGTCAGCTAGTGGCATGGTGGGTAACGTACTAGATTTCACATGACTGACATGGTTCAAGTCCTGGACCTTGTGACTTGAAGGACATGTCAGGCATGTGTACATACATGTCCAGGGTCTGGGGAGAGGAGCAGTGAAGGAAAAGGGATTGCAGCATGGCCACTCCCCATTGAGGGTGCTTTCTCAATCCTCCTCTCTCTTCCCCATCTCTCTCTGGTGAGAACATGCAACCTATAGCTAAAATGGTAAAATGAAAAGTGACGTAAAGTGAAAATAATTTTTAAAAAAGAAGAAAAGCCTTCCAAATAGTTAAAATTCATGGGAGACCATTGCTTATTAACATACATCAGAAGCACCAGCTAAGTCTTAAATTCTGATCATTTAGCTAGGAGCTAATGCTGGGAAGAGCAAGATTATCTGGAAATGTTCTTGATGAATGAATTATCTTTTCATTCTACAAAAATGAAAGAAAGGGAAATAACTTAAGATGAAATCAAATGAGAACTGGCACAATAGACAGTTATGGCTCCTCAGGAAGAAATAGAGAGATACTATCTGTCTTGTAAAGAGATTTCAGACAACTTTTGAGAAGTGGGCCAGGTACAACCAAGTTGCTCTATTGATTATGTTGAATTGGATATATAGCACTCTCAGGGGATTGAGACAGATCTGAACATTTCAACTGTTTTATGGGAAAGGTACTGTCTGCATGTAATAGGCTGCTTTAAATATTAGCTTTTTATATTCCTATTTTAATATCCAAAACACAGAGTCTATTTTTCAGATAAGTGACTTGTAAATTTTCTTGAGGAAAAAAAAATAAAAAACCTCTCATAAATTTATTTTCTGGAACTACCAGGTTCCAGACAATACTTTTAAAGAAGAAAAACATCTTTTGCTTAAAAATTAATGATTTAAGAAAAAAGTTGCTTTCTTCATGTAAGCATGCAAGGCAGATATAAAACGGAGGTTGCAAGAAAGATAAATCATGTGGCTTATGATATGCAGGGATTTTTAAAAATTAAACTTTTCATTTTTGGAAAAACTGTAGATTCACTTGCAGTTTAAAAAAAATGTAGGTACTATGCCTTCTTTACCCTTCATTTTCCTCAAGTGTAACATCTTTCAAAACTATAGTAAAATTTTATTATATATATATGTATGTGTGTATATATATACATATAAAATACATACATATACACATATATACATACATATACACATATATACATAACATACATACACACACACATATATTACATTGGAATTACCCACGTTGCCAGTCAATACTATTGTCAGAAAGGTCATGATGTGATTTTCTATGTAAAAATGAGACCTAGCTTTTCCAATAACCCAATATTTGCTGTAGAAATTACGAACCCCACCTTAATTTAGCCACAGCACTCAACACTGATGAATGCTGTCCCATTGAACTGACATAATCCATGTAAAACAGATAAACTGAATCTTCATTTCTCCAAAATATTTGAAAAGTTATTACTGCATTTGGCATTCTTTTATAAGCTCTACAGGATGAAAGAAGTTTTTAGGTTAGCGCTGTAAAAGAAAAGGAGCAAACACAAGCCTAATCACTGTAAATGGAAATGCAAGAGAGTTAAAAAAAAAAATCCATGTTCTTATTTTAAATTTCATGTAACTGGTTGTCACACCTCTCCTAGAGAATCATTTTGGAGTACTTATGAGATATTAGACTATCTGGTATTATGTCATAAATTTTATAAAAATAAGTACAACTTAAGTTAAAGTAATAGGATTTATTTCTGTTTCCCAGAAGGCTGTGCTTCTGGAATCTCTGAGACAGATGTGATCGTATTTGGAAAGCTGTGCTCTAAAATCAGGCGTGTGCACTCTCAGATGTGCAACAAGTTGTGGATCACACCAGGAAGTTAGCAGAGTGACAGAGATTGATAATCAGCTTCTGGAAGACCAAGGTCATGAATCAACTTGCATTGAGTGAACTCTACACACGTCTAAAACCTGTCATTGGTGATACCAAGCTGAAAGCTGTCACTGAAACGTGTTATCTTTGCAGAAGGCTGTCAAGTGTTGCAAGTCAAGTAGAAAACCGTATCAGAGAGCCTAGCGAATTGCCTTTGGCAGGCTTCTGGAATGTGGCACCAAGATGGCACTCAACTCTAAGCTCTGGTTAAACCTCACATGCAAAGCTCTCGTCCACTGCATTCGGGTTGGTCTAAGGACTAATATTCCCATTGCAGTTCTTGGAAGGACACCATATTTGAAATATAAAGTGGGACCACTGATAGAGAAATTCCAAATTGTAATGCTAAGCACACAAATCTATGCTGGGGAGTAAAGAGGTGGGAATGAAAAAGATATGTGTGAATTATGGCAGTACACAAGTTTTCCCCTGAGCAGTTACTCAAATAAATGAATCAAGGTACAGGAGAGGGTAGCCTGCTGCAAAACAGGAAGGAGAATTGTTTATAAGTGCTTTACAAAAAAGAGCCTAAAGCAAAAGAATCACTGTGCTGAGTGAGTGGGAAGCAATTCTATGAATGAAGAAGCCAACTCAAGCAGCAATCAGTCATGAATAATCTTAGGCAAATGCTACTCTGGAGAAAGAAAATGGACCCCCAAAGCTGCCAGAGCAGCCAGTTAGGTTAAAAGAAAAGGCAACTCTGTAACCCACTATCTGAATGAGAAAAAGGACTGAGAGTGAAGTTATTTTAGCCTAGTCTGAGGGCCTCAGACAGCCTAAGCTCCTGAAAGGGGTCTCCATAAGAGGGGGTTGCAGTGACATTCCTGGTTGCAGGTATTCATTGAAAAAGAGAGAAAGGTCCCAGGCCATGATAAAACATGACACTCTATGAGGCTGATCTGTGAGGCTGGCCCACGTGGGAACGTTCTGGGTTTGTATCTGGAAACCTCTCTGAATACACAGGACATGTGCATCTTACAATCTGGGGCTGACTGGAGACTAGGTAGGATCATGGCATCAGGATTCTGCTGGGGAGTTGTCTTTCTCTCATTTGTAGAAAAAAATAAGTTTTAAAAATAAATCTGTAAGGGGAGAAAACTTGCTTTACTAGCTAAACTATTAAACAGGAAATAAGTAAAAAATATCTTTAGGCAGATATAGGCAACAGAGCCCCCAGCAAAAACTAAGCACAAATAGAAGAGAACATGTCAACACTTACTTTCAGGTCAGACAATGGGCTCGCATGACATTCTCTGCTATTTCCATGGCCGTCTATAAAGTGACAGTTACCTAACTGTAATCAACTGGGAGGCAGCTTTTCACCGTAGTGATGGTAAAGAGGTGCTGCTGCACGCTCACAAATCCCGAGACCGCAAGAGGGACAGGTGGAAGGAAATGCAAAGGCCAAACTGCAGGTCTGATACACAGAAGGATGAGATTGTTCATCTGTACTTTTACATAATTAGAAATGTTAACAAAGCAAACTCTCGAGATAAAAACTTCATACGCCCATTTGCGTATATAGCGCAGTGGTATCTGATAGAACTTTCTACGACAGAGTGTTCTCTAGCTATGCTGCCCACAGTGGTACCCAGCAGACCGATGTGTCTGCTGAGCACATGAAATGTGCTCAGTATAGTTGGGAGACTGAATTTTCATCTGATTTATTTTTTTTTAGAGAGATTTTTTGCTATAGGGTGCATGTGCTCACTGGAGAGACACAGAGAAAGAAAGCAAGAAATCACCCCCGCACCCCCGAGGGATGACCACCCTTCTCCTTCAATCTACTCTTGAGATTTTGGGCACACATGCACACACACCTGGTGTGAGTTTTAAGCCACCAAGTCTAGGACTTGAACTGCAGTCGACTACATGGGAGTCCAGCAATGTAACCATTATGCCATCTTCTAGTTCCCATCTAATTTAATTTTTAACTAAAACTTAAATCAAGGGCCAGCCCTGTGGCGCAGTGGGTGGGCCCCGTACACTGGGAGCCAGATTCCACATGGCTAACTGGGGTTTGAAAAAATTGCCAGGCTTGTGTGCATGTAGGCCTCAAATCCTGACCTGATGGAAAAAGGACTGTGAAGTGTTTTCTCTTTCTTTCTCCAGTGAGGGTACACATCCTTTTGCAATTAAAAAGCAAACAAACAAACAAACAAACAAACAAAAAAAACCAAAACTTAAAGCCTGCCAGGTTGATATAGATACTATTTTATCATCTGTGTTTTATATATTTTTTTAGTTTTCATTTGCCTGAGGGCATGTGGGCTTGCCACAGAAACAGGGAGACGGGAGAAACTCCCTCTTTCTCAATGAAGCATGGTCACACTGCAATCCCTTCTCCTCCACTTCTACATCCTATTTAGATTTTGGGCACTTGTGCACACACATGCATTTATTCATACACACCCACTATATGTTTTTCAAGCTTCTAAGACTGGAATTTGAATTGCAACTGGCTATGTAGGATCTGGCTCCCTTAACCACTAGGTGATGGAGCAAGACCTTTACATATCTATTTCTCTCTCTCTCTCTCTCTCTTTCTAAGTGAGGCACAGAATGGTTACACAAAGTCACATGGCTGATTCTCAAATCAAGGATTAGTTCAGGCTTTCTATAGCAACATGAACTATTTAAGGGGCAAGTTGTGCTTAAGTTAAACACTGAAAAAAATCTAAAAATATTTTATGTTGCTCTGCGGGCAAATAAAAAGCCATAGTCTACCTGTTTTCCCTGTGTTTTTCATCCAGGTTTTGTTAGAAGACTCGTTGTCAAAACCATCAAGTTGAAGCTCCTGGTATTCTTCACCAACACGCGCATGCTGGTCTAAAATGTCTATAGGAGACTGGTGATGGCCCCCGCAGCTGACACTGGAAGTGACCCAGTGCTCAGGACCATAGGCACCTGTGGAGAGAAAACAACACTTTCAATTCTCATGGCTCAGGGGCCAGGTAAGGAATGAATTAAAGGTAGAAAGCTGGGTACTACAACTTTCAAAGCACATTTTTGAATATGTCCCCATTCCAAAGAGGTCAGAGTATTGAAAATGATGAATCGAAGCCATTTGCTTGACGTGTTGAGATTTCAGAAAAGATATGTTACTGAAGATAGTTTTGCTTCTTGATTTGCAATCAAACATTTGCTAAGTTTATCTTTAATCAGATTAAGGGAGTTAGGCTGAAGGGCTGTCAGAGTTGTCTGCATTTTTGAAAATTTTTAAATATGTTTCCTAAAATAAGCAGATCATTTATTCACAAGAATATTCCCTACTTAATTAATTGTGCACAATAGCCTAAGCACAATTTACTTCCTTGTCTTTAAGAGTTTGCAACAGGAGAAAGGAAAAAACGTAAAGTAACACAATGAGAGTCTTTACAAATGAGGCAGGTATGGAGATAAGTTTTTTTCTTTGACTAATTATGAAAGAGTTTACAATTTTCCCAGAGTCTGTACATCTCTCCTAGGACATGGAGATGTAAAATTACCTTCAGATTGGACTCAGTACCCAAACAAGTAAGTGTTGTTTTGTTTTTTGCGAGAAAGGACCCATATTCCAGAAATAAAGCAGGAGAATACAACCATGAAGGATAATTCTAATGTTTGCTATAGGGCACGTGCGCTTGCCAGAAAGACAGAGACAGGCAGAGAGACAGAAAGCGAGAAATCACTCCCCCTATGGGGGGTGGCCATGCCGCAATCCCTTCTCTTCCATTCTCCTCTCAGGATCTTGGGCACACACGCACCACGTGCCCGGCGTGAGTTTAAGCGGCCAGGTCTGGGACTCAAACTGTGGTTAACTACACAGGAGTACAACGACATAGCCATTACACTAACTGCTGCTCCCAGGCTTTTCCTATATTTAACCTTCTTGATTAAAAAAAAAAAATCAGGAGTAGCCTGTTGGCTACAAAGATTAAGATAATCCTTTTTTGAGACTGAGATATAGAATAAATATACATTTTAAAGTTTTAGAAGATAAAACACAGATTTCTTAGTCAATAAACTACAATATGTTAATATATATAATGCACATATAAACATGAATGTTACATATAGATAGCTCCTAGATTTTTTTAACTTTTAATTTCTTTACATATCACACAAAATAGGGTGATTAGCCAAACTGACTTTAGGAGACCAACCTTCATATCAAGCAGCATTTTTGTGCCTCCCTATAGACCTAGTATGACAGAAGACACAAAGACACCTCCAGGTAAGTCTCCCTACTGCTTAATGCCCTGCACTCAGCCTGCTGCCATCTACTCACTCGCCATGACTTGTTCATTCCCCCAAGTCTGATACAGCTCGTTGTGGACAGAAGCAATGGTACCATGAAAAAGGGGAATCTTTTCAGTCACTGCAATGAAACCTTCAAAGTAGCAAGAACAATCAACATAGCTCCTTAAAAAGGATTCAAATTCTGGTCCAGCTGCAGCGGTGCAGGCAGTAGTGCCTTTGACGTGCTAGAACCATACAGATAAGGAGGGTTTGGATCCCGGGTCTGTCTGAACCACCAGGTGTGGGAATGATACTGCCTGGCTGGAAAGCTAATGGGGGAAGTGGAGATCATAGTGTGCTGAGACCTCGTCAAGGATGCATACTTCTCTCTCACTCTCAATAAATAAATAAACTTTTAAAAAAGATATGCATATTCTTCTATTTAGCAACTACCTCAATTTCACTCCAGTGCCTTGGTCACTTTTCCTAATCTTTATTCTAAGTAATAAAATAAAAACAAACTATAAGAAGACATATTCACTGATTGGCAAAGGTCTAGCAACCTTGGGAACTAACATGTCATTTACAAGTGCCATAATATGTCCTAGGGAAAAAATCAACATCCCCATTTTCTTTTTTGTAGGAGTTCAACTAAATGTGAAAGTGTCCAGGGCCTTTGACTCACATCGTTTCAGCGCTCGGTCAAATTCCCTGACTGATGATTCACAGAGGGACAAAGTGTACACTTGCATACATGTTAGCCAAGCTTTACTTTCATCTTGCAACTACATATTTGAATAAAATAAAAGGGGCAGGCAAAGCGGACAAAGGGAATGTCTCTAATTATTGTCACAGCTTAAATTTTCTTTCAGATGCAAAAAGAATGCAGTGAAAAACTGAATGAAGTAATTGTTGACATGTCTGAAGGCTGAACAAAATATGAATTTTTATGAGCTATAATGGGGCTTGTATATCCAAAAGTTAGAAACATGTTAATATAATACACATGTATATCTGTGTGTATAAAATGTCTTCTAGAATCTCACTAATAAAATCACACTAATGAAAAAATGCTATGGGACATGGTAAAATAAATCCAAACACATATGATTCTAAAAAATATAGGAATATAAGCCAACATTGGTAAAAACACAGACACCTGATAATTATCCTACTACTAACAACTAAAAAAAAAATTCTGCAATGATGAAAAAGTAGTTGCCATTCATATTATTTCTCATAACCCTCCAAACATAGATGAAATATAATTTAGCACTGTATGAAAATATAATCAGGGTTCACACCAGTGGGATTCATTTATTCACTGGTAACAATCTGAAGATTTAAGCTGACTACATGCTTGCTTTCACACTTCCACCCAATATACGTTCAAGTGCAATTTTAATTGAAACTGATCTTCCACTTCAGATTTTAAATTAATTCTTCTTTGGAGTGCTTCATGCTCCAGACACCCTTGCCTTGCAAAAACCCCTATGTCATTAGTGGAGGAAATAGAACACTTTTTCCAAGCTTGCAGGTATTGATTACCTATTCTCACATCAAAGCGCCATTGCCATTCTACACTGTATAAATCTCTCTGGTGTTAAGACACTTTATAAAGGACTGAGAATTATATCATTAATCATTTGCAGTTGCACAAGTCTCATAGTATTGAAAGCTTTGTTTTTCAGAACTTCGAATAAATGCTTTTAAGGAAAAAACATGACACTAAATAAAGACTGTGGTTAACTTTAACCTAGATAGGAGGATGAGAAACAATCAGCAAGAAGCTCTCCTCTTTCAGGTGTGACATTACCCACTGAAAACATGAAGGAGGGGCTGACCCATCGCTTAGTAGTTAAGGTAGCTGGATCCCACAAAGCTGACTATGGTTAGAATCTCAGTCCCAGTGGCTTGAAGAACACACCATGTATATGTGTGTATATGCCCCAAATTCTGACGGGATGGAGAAACAGAGAAGAAACTGCACTGTAACCATGCCCCCTTTTTTGGGGCGGTGGGGAATGGAAGAGTGCTTTCTCTCTATCTCCCTGGCATGCTCATATGCCCTCTAGCAACTAAAAATGAAAACTATAAATAAGCAACAATATAAAATAATTCTTAAAATGAAGGAAATGTCACTTGCTCTTTAGTTTCTTCTTCTTGACTCTTTCTTAGAATGAGCAGGATTATTTGCATTTCAGCAGTTAGACTGATTCTGAAAACTCATCAACTCTGCCATCACCACCCAATACACAAGGGTACATTCCAACCAGGAAGAGGTGGGGTTGAGGTAGAAACCACAGGGCAGTTTGAGGCTGTCCAAAGTAAGTTTCCATTCACCTGTGTTACAAGCATGAAATCTTTTTTCTTTTTTAAGCTTTTTTTTCTTACATGAGTAAGAGAGACAGAGAAATAGAGACGGAGTGAAAGGCATGCCCAATAGGGTCTTGACACCACAATCGTCTTCAGCTTCAGCCAGCCTCAGATCATGGGCACATACGTGCCCAGTGGATTCAGTAAGCTCCCCAGACATGAACCCAGAAACCTTCCATATGGGTCTGACTCTCACTGTGTTCTACCACTGTGCCACTATCCAGTCCCATAAAGGCATGAGTTACTGATGGAGACATACTGCCAACCTGTAAGTATCAAAAGAATCTAATACTGCTTCTTACTCAACCTATGATGAAAAATATTTTCATTTTAATGAATTTAACGAACACACGTAGAAGCCCTGGCTTAATGTTTGATCTCAGTGTAAATGTCCCTTTGCCAGGGACACATGGGGTTCTGGGATATCATGGCATTGGCTTCATGGCTGCCTTTGGATCTCCATTATTATTCCAACTATTGCCTGCCTGTCTTCCCACTAGTGGTAAACTCTATGAGAACAGGCTGCTTGTATATCTTATTCATGTTTATACCAATGCCTAGCATAGGTCCTACTAAGTCCCTAATACACATTTTTTGGGTACAAACAAATGAATTGGAAGGAGCTATTAAAGACCGTCAAGAGTTCTGCCTGTGGACCAGCAGATGGCATAGTGGTTACTGGTCTCCCACATAGTCTACCACCGTTTTAGTTCCAGACCCAGCAGCTTACAACCCACATCAGGTGTGTGTGTGTGTGTGTATGCACACACCCAGAGTCTGGAGAGGAGAATGGCACAGAAGGAATTGTGGTGTGGCCACCTCCCCTGGGGGATGATTTCTCACTGTCTCTCTCTATCTCTCTGGTGAGTGCACATGCCCTATAGCAAAACTCTCTCTCTCAAAAAAAAAAAAAAAAAAAAATGAGCTCTGCCTTCTAATGACACTATGGCATGCTATTTGTGCATTATTTTGGCTTTAATTTTACATATCTATGCCCTGACTGATTACTAAGAATCCTTCTTTCCCTTGGTCTCAAAGTCAAGTTATCAACTTGAGAGATGCATATTCCTTTACTTCATTGAAATAGTAAATTAGCCTAAACTGTGTCAAGGTAAAATAAGCTACAAATATATGCCATGCATTAAAGAATCTGTGTGCAAACTTAACAAGTCCAACAGGGGTGATTATGGATTTTTCTTTTTTCTTTAAATAAAAGAGGTGGTATTACACCTTTGCTTTCAATGCCTACTGTGAAGCATTGTTACTTTAAAAATTCTCTTCTTCTGTGCATTGCTAGACTTGCCTAATCA